TGAATTTTGAATCTAATTTAGTAATTAATTTTAATTCAATGAAAGAATTAATTGATAGATACCTTATGTCTAATGTTTCAATTATAACTGTTCCTCAAAATAAGTTTAAAATTAACAAGTATAGCGATATACTAACACACGAATTAAAGAAAACGTTTCAATTGGTGTACGATAAGCGTATGCTTACAATTGAATACACCACATTCCCATTTGGTTATAAAATCTAAAAATATTTGTGTTAATTATATTAAATTTGTATTAATTGTCTTAATTATAATAATGTGCGCAAATCCGCAATTTCAAACAAGCATAATTAACCACGCCTTCTCAATAATTGCTATAAATACATCTCTTATACATTCTTTTATCACACTTGTAAGCTAGCAATGGAGAAGAGAACTTTATACGAAATCCCTCTTATCACCGTTGTTTGTAATGATAAAGTTTGCGCGAAATATGTTAAAGTTATTCAAGCGACAGGTGTTAACTCCATTAACAAACAGATATATAAATTTACACGTTTGGAAATAAACGTCTCAATTTTTGGGAATGTTCCAATTGGAATAACTTTATCTCTGACTGAATTCAATTGGTTAATGACATTTATACAAAGCTCATTGCCTGCGAGTATATTTAATGGAAAGAAAACTATGTCCGGAATCCGTTTGGATGAAAATAAAATTTCAATAACATCAACCGAATATGAGAGAGGTTTTTCTGTGGTTTTGAATAAAGCTGATTGTGAAGTTCTTAACGAAAATGAAAGCATTTTATTATTTTTGCTTGCACACCAAAATGCTAAAGGCTCGGAATTACAGGAAATTTGTCAAAATTTATTTATTTCTATCGTAGGAAAGCAAATAAGTGAGTCGATTACAGCCAAATGTGTTGCGTGTATCAATGGAGCCGGCGAGCATATAATTTGCAAGGAGTACTTCAAAAACTTTAACAATAAAGAAATGTTGTTAGATGAAGTATTGGAACATGGGGTCGTTGATTTAAGGTTCAAAGAGCAATTTGGCCATTTGATGAATTTGTTAAACATTATCGAAGCGGATCGCGTATTCCAACTTCAAGTCACCATTCCCCAATTACGTAAAAACACCAAACTTTTAATCACCAAACTCTGCGCCTTTATTGATGTCAAAGAAAGTGGCGCGAATACTGTTGCTCAAATAATTAAACTTTTAAAAATTACATATTAAAAAATAAAAATTATGTAACACTTAACCACGCTTATTAATCACACACACACACACACACACACACACACACACACACACACACACACACACACACACACACACACACACACACACACATACACAGATGCAGTACACTATACACAACACCCATACATAACACATACAACACATAACACACACTAACCTATGGGTTAGTCACTGGCCGACTATTGTTCACTCACTGGCCGACGCGTTGTTCACTCACTTGCCGACGGGTTGTTCACTACTGGCCGACAGTTAGTCCACACAATAGGCCGATAGTTAGTCCACACTATAGGCCGACAGTTAATCCACACAATAGGCCGATAGTTGTCCACACTATAGGCCGACAGTTAGTCCACACAACTGGCCGACAGTTAGTCCACACAATAGGCCAACATTTTTACCACAAAATCAATTTATAACTCAATTAAAAACAATTTCTTGTGATAAAAATGAATACAAAAAGCATTGATTTGTTGAATGAAGTGATGAATGGATTGAATGCCAACTCTTTCTGCACTTTCTCTACATTTCACACATTTTTGATCACAAAATCAATTCAAAACTCAATTCAATTCAATTCAAAACTCAATTCAAAACTCAATTCAATTCACAATTCAATTCACAATTGAATTAATGTCTGAATTTCTTGTCATAAAAATCAATACAAACTCTGATTTGAATTCATTTCAAACTCAAAGACAACTGTTTTTTGAATTCATTTCCAGTTTTTACGGCTAAAGTGCAATATTGGTACCATTTTATAGTTGTATTTCATATGATATACTACTATAAAATGGTACCAAATCTACGTTACTCTATGTCTCACTCAACACACAGTGAGCGCGAGTTTTGATTTTTGGTTAAAAAATAAATCAATTAAATTATAAACCATTGTTGAATGCCCTCTAATTTAATTGTTATGCGTACGTGTCACAAACTAAATCTTTTGATATATATGAATTATTTTTTTTGTAAATGCTGAGAATTATATCAATAAATATATGGCAATAAATATACCATATTATACACATAAGTATCAATAAATAGGTTAATAAATTAGAGTCATTTGAGTCCAATTCCGGGACATTATTCTTGAGGACAATCGCCGGACAATCGGCGCCACAACAAGAGTCACGTCAACTCATCTACTATTCACTTATCACTCGACTCTATGTATTGAACGATGAGTTATGTATGTATTGGTCATCAGATCTCAAACATTCATCTCTCGATTTCATCACTAATTGTTACAAATATTAGTTTAAACACATTTACGTATTTAATAAACCTTTTGTATGAATGATGTGTCGAAACACGTATAAGAAATACATGGTGTGTTTGTTGGGCATAGCAGTGCACTTGTATTATAACGGTTTACTTTACCCAAGTTATTCCAATAGAGAGGGAGCTTTTATTATTTTACCGTGGTTATTGTTTGACCTGGGTAATATTTTATATATACTCACAATAAATGTAAACAGTGCATGAATACGTAATGTGCAGTTTTTATAGCGTTTGCACCAAATTAGCACCAATTCTGTGATTACACCAAATCTGTATAAAATCTAATTATGCGATTCAAAAGACATTTGCCGGCGGTATAGACACCGTGTCGTCGGTATGAGTGGTCGAGAGATGTGGGAACAGTTCTGCGGGCCATACCGTACACGCCTTTTAGTTATCGTTGGCCGTGTCGTCCACCGATCGCACCGCACATTATCAACCCATTCCTCGCGCGACACAAGTTGCAGATCAACAGGACTGCAGTGGATCTACACCACTATCACCCGGGGATCAACTCTTATGAGTACTCGCTTTATATAAACCGCACAATAAATACAATTATAAACACATTATATATCGTAAACTCTTTATTATCGGCCCGTTATTCGCATTCAAATCGCATACAATTGTAATCACAGTTAAAATGATATACAATAAAACAATCGCTAAAACATTACAATCGTATCGTTCAACGCAAACAACGCCTCCAAAGGCTAATCGCAGACTGAGCTCTCGATGGGATGTGAGGCACGCCTTATATACAGTATAAGTGACTAAAACATAGGGAAAACGTTAGGGAAAAGTACTCGTGTAAAACATAGAGTAAAATATAGAGAAAGTGAGTGTTTAGGCATTGGCTGACACTAGAGGGCGACTCCACTGCAGGACTTGCAGTCCGTGGGGTCACACATCTCATGCCCGGACAGTACGGGTGATCCGGTGGCGGAACCGCTGGACCACAACCACTGCTCAATTAAATAGCTGCTGACAATCGGAAACACAAAACCCATTCATATATCGATACACACGCGAAGAGTCCATCAAATGATTGACAAATGAAATGAAAAAACAGATGAAACACAACATGTGATGCAAACAATGGATGAAAATCAATGAACATATAAATGATTTCTCGGATCACATGATAAACACTGGCTTTTCAAGCATTACGTCAACCGTTGGATCAAATCCATGACAAGGCATACGAATCAGATGGACATTACGTGTGAAGAGATCATCAAATGCCAGATTTGGTTGAAAAAGGAGATAAAATGGACACCAAATACAACAATTGATGCAAACAATGGATGAATACAAGGAAAATGTGAATCAATTGATGAATAAGACGGTTAACCATGAATTAAATGAAGACACAGACGAAACAATCGCTAAATGGGGGAAAAACTTAACAAATACAACAAAATAACACAAAAANAACAAATACAACAAAATAACACAAAAATCAATACAAAAAATGGTACAAAAAATATAACACAAAATATAACAAAAAAAATAATACAAAAATATATACAATTAATAAATAATTGGTTTAACGTTAATATAATAAGTGGTTTCGATGTGTGGTATCGATAGTGAGCTGTTCTTCATTCTCGTGTTTGTGAATCACATCCAATACATCCACTCTTTTATAATGTCTTCAGTGGTGTTGACTTTAACTGCAAACTCTCTTAAGATGTTTCTTCTGTGGCGGACATCGAGTATCAGTTGATTGAGTGATGAATCCATTAATTCAATGCTTTTGATAGTCGACTGAAACGGGTGTTCAGTATATTGTTTAGCAATGCCTCCAATTTATGATCAATTTTAATACCAATGCTCTGACCATCGGATCCTTTAAACGCAAATAATTTAAACATTTGGTCTCAAAACCCAAGTGATTGTTCACTCACTTATCAACCAATAATTGGTTGTCATTTGAATAGCTCTCTCATCGGCGGTGAATATAACTGCCGCCGATGTTATGACCAGTTATGGCCACTGTATGGCCACACACTCGCAAACTCGCAGCCAATCACGTGCGGAGTCTATAGCTTACTAACAAGCGTCTTCGGCATCAACCACACAACACGTGATGGCCAGTCATCTACGAGTGTTGCCAAACAGTTGGACGACTAATCCATTTGTATTTGTATTATTAAAACTGTTTTTGAGAAATGAGTGGAAATTAATTAAAGTCCTAATAAATAGCGATTCAAACTATACTTAAGACACGGGTTGTGTTGTCTACGAGTCAAGTGATGAGCAGTTGTTGATCACTGAGTGTTCGGTCGGTGTTTATCGCCCACAATGTGTCCGCCATTTGGATCATTATCTGAATCGATAAATATTATGACAAAATATAAACAATTAAAATATGGTTTAAGTTTCAAAACACAACACATACTCATCGCAAGAATTCAGACAACTGTTCAAATAAGTCGTGAAGTTGTGAATACTTGTGCCTCTGATGTCCACACAGTCTGGCCATTATTCTCGTTCCCGAATCTCTTCGTGAGTTTCAATTGTCTTGAGTCCAGTATCTGATGGCAAGTCTGGCGATGGCTTGCATTCAGACAACTGTTCAAATAAGTCGAGTCTTCTCTCCATTACTATTGTCTTCAAATGGTTTGCCTCTAAATTGTCACCAAATTTAATACCAATGCTCTGACCGTCGGATCCTTTAAATGCAAATAAGTTAAACATTTGGTCTCAAAAACAAAGTCATTGTTTACTCACTTCAATAGTTGGCATCTGAATAGCCCTTTCATCGCCGGTAAACATAATTGCCGCCGATGTTATGGCCACTGTATGGCCACACACTCGCAAACTCGCAGCCAATCACGTGCGGAGTCTATAGCTTACTAACTGCGCGTCTTCGGCATCAACCACACAACACGTGATGGCCAGTCGTCTACAAGTGTTGCCAACAATTGATAGTCTTATTAATCCATTAATTCAGTGCTTTGATAATCGGCTGAAACCGTTGTCCAGTATATTGTTTAGCGACGGATCCGACCGACTGTCGGCCCGTCCTTTACATCCAATCATGTCTTCGGCGGTGTTTTGTGCGGTTCTGACCGTCGGATCCTTTAAAAGCAAAAACATTAAACACTTGTTCTCGAAGACAAAATCATGGTTTAAATTAATTTCAAAGTGAATAGTATTGAGATTGTAATCATAGGATAGAACAGATATCACATACACTTACAGCGGTTCCATCGGTGATAACACACAAAATCTTTTTGTACGCAATTTACCACTAATTAGCTGTTGATAACAAAAATCAATACAAAAATTAATAATTCGTTTAATTAAATAACAATAAGTTGTTTGATGTGTGGAATCGATAGTTGGCTGGTCTTCATCTTCCTGTTCAGGGATCACATCCAATACATCCACTCTTTTGTAACTTTTTAGTGGTGTTGACCTGAATTGTATTAATTCTAGTGTTTGTGAGAAATGAATAGAAATTAATTCAAGTCCTAATAAATGGCGATTTAAACTATACTTAAGGCACGGGTTGTTGTCTACGAGATTGAAGTGTTGATCAATTGTTGATCACTGAGTGTTTGGCCGGTGTTTATCGCCCGCATTGTGTCCACCATTTGGATGTCATTGTCTGAATCGATAAATATTATGCAAAAATTATAAACAATTCAAAACATGGTTTAAGTCTTAGAACACAACACATACTCATCGCACGTGTTGTTCACCTATTGGTTGTGTCGGCACTGGAAGTGGTGGTGATTGTCGGCATAGAAGGGTTGGCACAACTGGTATAGCATTTAGGCTCTTGTTGTTGGCCTTAATCTGCGGCTATCGTCGACTGGTCTCTGGCATCGGTTGAGCTAATAATTGATTGCCAAACGAGTCATATCTTGTATGGCAAATGTCTGCGGCGTTTGTGTTCATATGGAATGTGCTTTGAGTTGCAAAACATATGGCATTTGACCGCATATTGTCGACGAGTCACGTGTTAGCACAGGTGAGCGTTGATTACTTGCACAGAACAGTGCCCACAGAAGTGGCCGGTGATGTTCCCCTACCAACACCTTTAATACAACAAATATAGCGTTAGTTGTTATCAATTATACATCGGGTGGGGAGGGGTTGGGGTAGACATAGGACAGGGGTTAAGAGTGGAGGTATTTTCAATACCTGTCATCGATCTTATGAATGGCTCACGAATTGAAGGCCACGACCAGTAGTCCGAAGGGAATGCCGGCAATTGTCTTGAGTCCAGTATTCAATGGCAAGTCTTGGCGATGGCTTGCATTCAGACAACTGTTCAAATAAGTCGAGTCTTCTGTCCATCACTTGATGTCTTGAAATGCTTTGCCTCTAATCTGTCATCAAATTTAATACCAATGCTCTGACCATCGGATCCTTTCAACACAAACAAAGTTAACATTTGGTCTCAAAGACAAAGTGATGGTTCACTCACTTCTAGCAATCAATAATTGTCTTGAGATGTGTTTGTCTTCTGCCCCCGCATTGTGTCCACCATTTGGATCATTATCTGAATCGATAAATAGTATAAACAATTAAAACATGGCTTAAGTTGTCGTCGCAGAACATAACACATACTCATCGCGAGTGTTGTCCACCGATTGGTTGTGTTGTGTCGGGCACTGGAAGTGGTGGTGAGTGTCGGGCCATAGAAGGGTTGGGCCACTGGTATAGTATAATTGACCAGTTGTTGGCCTGTCATCTGTGGGCCATCGCCCTTAGTTGTGACCACACACTCGATCACACTTGACCTTCCAGGAAATGCAGGCACGGGGGCGGCGGTGCCCCGGATTAGTCGTACGGGCGGCCCATTGACAACGATGTGTTGGTACGGCCCGAGTCCATGGGTAATGGACGCCGACATTCCTGTGTCCCTTTATCCCTCCCTATGCCTACAAAAACACCCATCCGTTCAGGCGGTCACTCATGTGTGGCCACACGACTGGTCATAACGTCGGTAATGACAGACGATATCGTCGACTCAAACTCGTGTCCAATATATTGTTTAGCGAGAGATCCGACGCTAAGCCAACGGCTCATCCATTGGGACCGACTTTCGTCCCGTTCTTCACATCCAACGATGTCTTCGGCGGTGTTTTGTGCGGTTCTGACCATCGGATCCTTTGAACACATAAAATCATTAAACATGTGGTCTCGGAGACAGTCATGGTTTCAGTTCACTTCAAAGTTAATTGTCTTGATATTGTAATCATAGAATAGGGTAATACAGAGATCACTTACAGCGGTTCCAATCGGTTCCATCGGCGAGAACACAAACAACCATTTTGTGGGCGAGTTATCATTGATTAGCTGTTGATGTCTTTGACCACAACTGAACCGTGCGTTCAATCTCTGGTCCGACCAATTGGTGCCATAACTCACGGCTTGTCTCGTCGGACAATTGATGTCCCGATGGCTGGTATTCGCTGTGAATAAGACTTTAGGTTCAAATGGTGTGACTTTTTTTGGTCTCAATTCAGATATAATTGAGACAAAAACCAATTATAAGTATTTAATAAGTAATTTATGATTCATTTGAAAAATACCATTTTAGTCATTAAAAACATTATTTGCACACAAATACTGTTATGCGTTTTGAATCAGCAACTAATATAAATAATCATGATCTATTATTTTAATCCAGACATGTTATTCAGGGGCATGTAATTTTACATTTTTCTAATTTATAATGGTTATTTATTGATTTTATTTACCATATATGGTATACTCATAAATGGGTAATTTTATCGTATGCTTTATAATGTTTGACTCATGGTTAACCTATATGAGTTAGTATAGCAATTTAATGTCCTTAATATAATCAATATTAATTGACATTTATTAAATATTAATTAGTAGTTTTAACATTAATTAGGCATTAATGAATTATATTTTAAACTATCAAAACTTTATACTAACTTATTATTTAAACAATTTTAATTGTATTTTTATAATTTGATTATAATTTAAATGATAATTGTTTTGCAAATTTTAATTTACAACTTTTGGACATATATGCATTGCAACTGAACAAAAGCCTTTACAATTTTATTTTATTTTACATTTATATTTTGTTATTTTATAATTAAAGAAACCAGTCATGTTTTTCATGTATATTGCAGTATGAGTCATTTGTGTATTTTTACTACAAATGCAACACTCGTAAGCTAATATACATGTTGATAAATATCCATTTACGTTATAATATATATAAAGTTGCACCAAAGGTGCACTTTTGTGGTTTCGCTATTTATAATATGATAAAATAAGTTAATTGG